GTTATATGATTAAACCAAATAACATAATGTGTCTCATTCTCAAGCACTATGTGCTGTATGATGTAAGCATTGCTTTAATTTAAAATAAATTAGAATGGTTACTATAAATTGTATTTGTTTTGATGTAAAACATCATGACTAACCAGCACAAAAGATGACTAAAACATCTAAACCTAGTTCTTCATCGGGCAATGGTTAATGTTGTTAAATCATTGTGCTAAGACATGACGGATTTCTGGTAAGTTGTTAATGCCTGGTGCCAGGTGGCATATTAAAAAAGTGAACTTCGTGGCTTTGGTGATTATATGCATTTTCCCATAGGACATAATGAGTTTTGATTCAAAGCAACATGCTATGTTGAAATATTTACAGTTTTTAATTTTGACACTTGCTTTAGAAAGAATATATATGCTAGCAGACACATTATCTGTAATGATTCCTGACTTGTGAACACCGAGTCTTGTGTGTACTTTTGTCATGTCCTGTGCTGTGCTAAGTCTTGTAGTCCTATGTAGTTTTTCATGTTGATTAGTCTCCCCAGGTGTGTCTTGTTTCCTCATTTCCTAGTTAAGCCTGTTTGCCCCCGTTTATTTATAGCCGTTGTGTTTCACTTACTTTGTCAGTTGTAAATGTATGGTTGCTTCTAGTTCGGTCCTTCTCGTGGTTTTATTTTTTTATTTTTTTTGTCTGTGGAGTTCTTTATTATTTGTTCTATGTGCCTTCGCCTGCTTTCTCCAGTAACGTTACATTTTCTGTGTTTTATCTTTCTTTTCCTGTCTCTAATGCATAGTGCTGCCACTAAAGACTAATTTTCTAACGATTAATCTTTTGACCAATTTTCCGATTGGTCGACTAATCTAAACCACTGATTTAAAAAAGAAATTATGTGTTTTTTATTTCATTGTGTCCATTTTATTTAAAATATTGCACAAAGTTGCTATGCAAATATAATACAAAGTTGAGTCTAAGGGATGCTGCCTATATATATATATATATATATATATATATATATATATATATATATATATATATATATATATATATATATAAACAATTCAGAATGTTTCAAAACATACATTAACTAGTTTTTCAAGGTCAATTATTCATTACACTGTACAAAGTCTAGCAATGCACCTCCAACTGAAATTCAAAGTTCTATAACTGATAACTAAGTGCAAGCATGTTAGAGTGCAAGAGAGTATAGTGCCCAACTGTGGCCAATTGATTCAAAATGTTGTGTTGTAGTGCAAAAATGTCAACACGTCCACGTGGTCTGGACTTAACCTGGCTCTTGTCTTTGAAACTATGTTTCCAGCTGAAAAAAACAGGCGCTCAGGAGTAAATGTGTCCGGTATACATAAAAGATTTCGCCAGAGATGCCAGGTTAAGGAAACCTGTACTGATTGGACTTCCACCACTGCAAAGGATTTGTGTTTTTGAGGGAAGACTGTTCCCTAATATATCTGGAAAATTCTTCTCACACTGAATGCATGTCATCAGTTTCCTCATCCTCTCGGTCCATTTGGTGAGATGATTTATCCGAATCATCTGACGCCAGCAATGCCTCTAACATTGACACAGGCACCTTTTCACTTGTGTCAGCAGAACTTCTGGATGTGATGTGCTGCTGTACTACAGCATCAGACTTCTGCTTTTCTTCAAGTGCAAGATGTAGAATCTTCCCCTGCATTCTCAAGATGTCATCTGCAGATAAGAATTTCAGCCGGTGGCATCTGGGATCGAGAGCAGAAGCAATTAGGCTGGTATTATGGGTGGCTTCAGTGAATTCAAGCTCGTTTTGCCACCTTTCAGTTATTTCATTTTCTGCAGCTTTCTGAAATACCAGTATGTGGGGATTCTCAAATGAAGAAGTGGTCTGTGCACTTTTTAGAAGCCCATTAATGAGTAGGGGTAAGCTAGAGAGTGTCACATATGACTCCCCACTCAGGTACACTGTAGCACATTCGAAGGGTTTTAGAGTTCTCTCAAGCTCTTCCAGGAGGCTCCATTGCACTGGCTTGAGGTCAAGGTAATGCTTTGACCCTTTTGTGATCCCTGGGTCAGACAGACATGCCGTTATAGGCCAACTTTGCTCCTGCAGACGTCTGATCATGTAATATGTGCTGTTCCACCTCATACATCTTGAATGAGGCTGTTTTCTGGCTGTCCCATTTGTTTTTGCTTTACCTTCAGGATATTGCTGGCAACCTCACTTTTGTTAAAGTGCTCCACTAGGGACCTTGCAGCACCAATGGCCTTTTGAATATGGGTATTCTTCTTCATAGCATGGTTCGCAATTAGTTGCAGAGGGCACATACAGCGTTTGATGCATTGTCATGAACAATTTCATGAATTTGGCAACTGCAGTTTCAATCCATGATGCAATATTTACTATCGGGCCCCAAAAAATAAAACAAAAAATAAATAAAAAACATGCCCGACCCTGCTTTGTCCGAGTCTGGCCCGACACAGCCCAAACCCGAATTTAACCCGACAATTTTTTAATACGTGGGTCTTTATAATTGACGTTCTCAACTACTCTCTCCCGCCCACAACATTTATGTTTCGTCCCTCTCCCGCCCACAAATATACTTTTCAAATATACGTTATCTCCAAATACTCGGGTGTGTGTATACTTACAGATGCACACACAGAGTGAGTGCATTACCGCCTGCACTCCATCAAATCTAGGCCTGCGCCGCACTCTTTTGCATTGGGAGTGCACAGCTCTAGATCAAGGACCCGGCCTTACGGGAAATATCGGCCCAAGTTCGGGCTCGGACAGAGAATCTAAGCTCTAGAACGCAGCTATGCTGCTCGTGTACACTAGTACACTTCCGTGCATTACAGCGTATAAAACATAAACATTACTGCCAAAGTTTTCTTTTTAGGTGCTTGTGCATCGTTGTTGTGCTCCTGTGATCTGAAAGTGAAGTTCGACTGACTGAACAGACCACTCTTTTGTTACCAATTGGCCTGAAATACTCCCATACTTCCGAAGCTTTTGGTCTAGTGCCAATTCTCGGACTTAAAGTCTCCTGCAAAGCAGTGGAGGCGGGGAGATGGGGAAGAAAGAGGATCGTAAACAACCAGAAGGGCGCGCGCACCTTCAGTACACACAGAGCACACAGTGAGCCGTTTGAGACGGGAGACCAAAAATGAATAGGCGGTCAATATTAAACATCGACTAAAATAATTGTTGTTGACTAATTTTCATGGTCGATTATAGACCATTTCACAAGATGTAAACAACACTGGTCCTGAAACACTTCCTGTTTAGGTTTGTAACTGTTTTCTTTATTTCACATGTAAAGAAAACATCTTAAAGATGTTTGTTTAACTTTTTGATTCAGTTTTAATTGTTCTGTTGGTTGTATTTTATCCCAGCTTTTATGTAGTGTTAAAAAACTGAAACAGGAAGTGCTTCTGAACCAGTGTTGTTTACATCTTGTGAAATGGTCTATATCGACTAATCATGGCAGCACTATTAATTCATTCATTTTAATTATGTTCAGTACAGCAGTACAGTACAACCTATTTGACTGCATTGAAATTATTGGGAAGTTTATTGGTTTTTGTGTGTGTGTGTGTGTGTGTGTGTTTGGTAAACTTCTGACATGCTGAATGGGAGATGACAGCAAATATTATTATTGTATTCCTGTTTGCTCTAATAGCAAAATAACAAATCTGTGATTGCATTTCCATAACTTTTCAAAAGAGGGGAAACAATTTGAGATTCATATTGCAGTGTTAATTCGTTTTATTTACTGCTAAGGTTATATAACAAAGTATAGCATTTTAAATGTTTTTGTTTTTTTTAAGATAAAAATATGAAAAACTTTATTTGCTATATTCATTTCTCTGGAAACTCGTCATTACATTTCTTGAAGGCGTCCTTTATTCTTAAATCTAAAGTATGTTATTTCTGTGCCATCCCACTGGCAGAATATTTTTCTCTCAAAATAATGACTGTTTTCAAATAGGTTTCCTGACCCACCCCCTGATTGTTGGCCAAATATATTATGTTAATGACAGACTGTTTAGGATGCTAAAATGAACAGAGCAATTTTTTTGCTAGTCATTGCTCTCCTGGGAAATTAACCAACATATTAAGCTTTGAAAAAACATCTTTAATGCAAACTAGTACACCCATGCAGCTAAATACATAAAATACATCTTTAATGCAAATACTAGTACACCCATGCAGCTAATAAGAAATATATGCGTCCAACACCTCAAAATGTCAGCATCTGCTGAATCTTTCATTACAAGTACGTTTCAAATAACTTAGTTTGCCAAATATGCCATCTCCATTCATTTTGTTTTGTATGTGTGTGTGTGTGTGTGTGTGCCACTTAGGTCCAGATACAGCAAGGCTCTTTTGCTTCATACCATTGTTCAGGCCAATCCTATTTTTGTTTTTTATTAGTTCTGCCACTGCCTCTCATGCAGTAGCCCCCCGGAGGCTCTTCTCCTTGCATATGTGTGTCGAGGCGATAAGGGAATTGGCAGTTTTGTTTATGCTGCTAATTATATGATTCCACGGTTTCTGTCCGATGCGTATTGTCCTTGCTTCCTGCAAGCGCTGATCTGCTTACTTCATCTGCTTCTATTTTCATCTACCTCCTCGATCACTCTTGACAGTTTGCCAACACTGAATGGTGACCCTTCAGTCGGTGCAGCCAGAGTTCTCTCCTTGGAGAGGTTGGTGGTATGCTTGCTCAGGAGACCGAAACAGCTGTGAAGAGCGTTCCCTTCATTATCACTAAGTCTTTTTTGCACATTCTCCTTTGCATATAGAGCCACATGTTATTCCTGCTTAGGAAAGTAGGAAGCAATCCTTTATCTTTGACAACCCCAAACACAAATGCAGTAATTGTCAGACTCTCATGTTGCGAGAGAGTGAAAAAAGGGAGGGACAGATGGATGGATGGAGGGGGTGGAAAGAACTGCAATAGGGAGGGAGGGCAAGCGTGTGTGTGCATATGTGCAAGCTTGTATGAGAGAGAGAGAGAGAGAGCGCACACTATGTTCAATACTCTGAGCATCTAGACATTGTGCCGGGTGGTAGAAGAGACAATTAAACCCACAATTCAGAAAAAGAACTAACAAACGGATTAAACACAGAAGGTTTGTGCTCCTTTCAGTCTTAACGCGGAGTGCGGATTGTGCGTTTAAGTCTGAAAGTTCTCCGGAATGCAAGCGCTCGTGGAGGATGAGCTAAGTGGAGCGGTGCACGGCAGGATTCTTCGAGGTTGGAGCGCAGCTGCTTCCTACAGCCACTGACGGGAGGACCTTGCGCTAGAGGAGGAAAGCTGCCTCCGTTTCTGTCTCTCTCTCTCTCTCTTTTCTTTCTCAGTCTTGCAGAGATAGGCAGCATCCTTTAGACTCAACGCTGAAAACAGAAGACGTTCTATAAAAAAAGAAAGAACGGAGAAGAAAAGGATGGGATTATAAAAGCAGGGAGTAATAAAAGGAAATCTGAAGCAAGGACAAAAAAAGTGTTCATCAGAAAGGCTCTCGTTTGTTGCTTTGCGAGGGCTAAACTGAAGAGATTTGGGTCGTGCATTGCTTTGCTTCAGCCAGTCTGTGGAGTATAGGATCACAAATAGCATTTCAAGGTAAGATGTTAGTCAAGTTCAATGTCTTGCATGTTTGACCAAATACAATTCAGGTTTGAGAGAGCTGATGTTACTGTTCCCCAACGACTGCTGAAGAGGAAATGAGGGTGGAATGTAAGTCAGTTGTTGTTTTTTTTGTGAACTATTAACACAAATTGTTCAGTTCAATTAAAGTTAAAGGCTTCGTGAATGTTATTCAGATGGTGCCTTAGGTTTTGCGCTAAAAACGTGATTTATTCCTTCACACCTTGGCAGATATTACTGGGGTGTTTGGGGACCAAAAACATAATTACAGTGCGAGACAGTCCTCATTTTGACAGGATCCCCCATTCGTCGTAAATGGAGGTGAGGGGTTGGGAGGAGGGGGTTAACACCAGCGATATGTAATTTTGAGGGGGAATATTTAAATCTACACTTAAGATGATCTCGCAACTTTTAGAGTTGTGACCAACTGATTGTTGTCGTCTTTTTGTTTTTTTGTAATTACTTTTGCTGTCACTTCTCCCACAAGTTCAGCCGTGACTTCTTCGCACAAAGCAATTTGGTGGCTTTCTTCTGACCACGTTTTAGAAAGGAGGGGTGTGAAAATGCAAACAGAGATTGAAGGTGTGATGAAGGGGGTTTGACAGCCTCATATCTGTGCTGCTGCTTGACGCAACTGAGGCCAGATGGAGAGGGGCAGAATATTAATGTTATTTCATTTTTATTTATTTTTTGGCAGACTGAAGGAAAGGCGTTCGGGTTTGGGCGTGAATGTCCCAGAGCTTCGTCGAGGAGCGTGTGTGCGCTCCCTTGACGGTAGTGGACAAGTGGCCCCCCTCCTTTGTCGGAGCTAGGGACTGAAATATTTATCATCGCATGCACATCCTGTCTGCCCTGAAATATTTAAAATAATTGAATAATAAATAACCCTGCCTGTTGAAATTGGCCCCTCTGTTATCCTGTCCATAGTGATGATTCTGTCTGCTCATGTTACCAGTACTCCCATGACTTGAAAGCTGCAGATGAAACAGATTAGGCGGTCTGTTAATGTGAGTTTACAGAGGAAGTATCTGAATATGACAATGATTCTCATTATATGTCTGTGTGAATTTTGGAGCAGAGAAAGGCATTGGATTTGACCGTTATCTGAATGCTTCGAAAATGTGATGAACAATCTATCTTGGCAGTTATACATGGCTGAATTCAATTGGATTGAGAAAGAAAAAGAAAAGCGAGAGGGCGGTGATGTCTGTGTGTTCTGTGTCTTTGATGTTTTATTGAGAGCTAACTGGGCAGTCGCACAGTCCTTGGATCTGCTGGTTTGTGTTTGAAGATGCAGCTCTGAATTTGTCTTGATTTAGTTGAATTTTTTACACTCACAATACTTGGCATTTATAGTCTAGATTGGGATATATAGAATGAACTTTTCCATATATTCCATTCAAACAATTATTAATTGTGATTTTGTAGAACAACAAACGTATAAATGGAGTAATTGCTATGCGACAGCAGTAGCGTAGTCTGCCTGCCTGCTGTTATGAAACAAGCCTTGAAGGGTATTGGATGAAAATGAATGCACCGGCAGATGTAGTCACAGAAAAATCCTTTCGTTGCATTGCCAGGACCGCTTGTTCCCAGTGAAGCCAGATGCATCAACACATGTGGCATGGTGAGGAGGTTTGCCACTACTTGAAGCTGAAGCTCAGCCATGCCTGAAGGTGCTCTCGTGGCCATCTCGATAACTTTGTGTTAAATGTGTTGTTTGATGGTGGAAAAGATTGGGTAAGGGGATGATAGACTTCCGTGAACTTGAATGTAGGAGGCAAGGTCACTGCAATGCATTCTGAATGCACAAAGATGCTTTGATTGTGTACTTGATTATTTCTTTCAAAAATAATTTCAAGGTATGTCGCTTCGCTCTGGATATGCAGAGAATTACACTGGGTAATAAAAAAGTATTTCTTTTCAGTGCACTCATAAACAAGCTGACACTGAGTGGCATTGCCAACATGATGTCTCAATTACACTCCTGTCAGGCCAGATACACACTTCATGCAATTACACAAACACAGCTAAAAGAAGCTATATACAGCCTAAGCTGGTTTGCTGGACTTTCAGTTTACCTTCAGTTTATGGTCGGTTTAGCTGGTTTAGCCAGTCTGACAAACTGGCAAGTGCCTAAAACCAACAAAACAGACCATCTTAGGCTAGTTTAATACATTTTTTTGGCTGGATGGACAACACATTAAAAATGTGGAGTGGCATGTCTATCGTGCAATCATGCGTTTCTTTGGCGTTAAAAATCGTAGTACTCAAGGGGGTGAGAGTTATCCTTCAAATAGGATAGAATCCTTCCGTATCATTAAACCAAATTTTCTATTACAAAGATGAAGTTTCATAAATATGAGTTTTACATTGCAGTTTGGCTGATGTTTTCATTTAGAGTCAATTATAATGTATTCATGATTGTTTTTGTATTTCCCCCAACTGTGACTTAGTGTTGCTAGTGTCATGCTATAATGTACAAATTGGACCAAAAGCTACAGGAACCAAGTCTAAAATACAAGATTATTTTCAAATTTGTTCTGCCATTAATGGTTAACCTGAAACTGAAAACTGAACTTTGAGGCAGACTTTAAGACATTGTGGCTGCTCTGATTTAGCTCTTCAAGTTGAATTGAATGTGTTACTTGCTGTTTCTTCGTCAAATATTCGAACAATTTCTGAGTTAAAATTATTTTCTTTTTTCTTATCTTTTTTTTTTTTGTGGTGCCTTTGAAAAAAAAAAAAAACCACACCCTAGGGCAACAAAAACATGTAATTGACATCGAAAGGAGACCAATGAGGTTAAATATACAAACCTCCAGTAATACAAGAGCTCTTGCTACCTCAAAGAGATGATTCAGCCATTGTAACTATATTTATACTGAGTCCATTAAGAGATGGAGAAAAAAAAAAAATCAATGCTCATTGTTCTGTCAACATTTGTTTTCTGTATTTTGAAGACCATGACCTTTAGCGGAGTGACTCTTACCTTCTCACGAGAGAGCTTGAATGACTCTGTCACAGGGCTTCAGATCATCAGGGTGCACATCAGGGTGATGTCATGGCCACCACAAAAACAGTTGTGCCTTCTCATTGCCGCCAGTCTAAATAACGGGGGGGGGGGGGGGGGGGGGGGGGGGTGGATTCTAAAATAAGCACTGGCCCCATCTGCTATCTTTCAGTATTGTTGATTTGATCTCTAAGGCAAGTGTTGGCCATTGAATGACCGTAGAGGTGTATTGCACATAGACTCATTTTAGCAGGGGTTTGGCACTACTGCTACTCCTTTGATTGTTACACTTGCATCCCTCTGCTTTCTGTCAACATAAACATATTTATCAATGTATTTATATAACACATCTGGATGGTATATACAAACAGATGGCAGCACTAATCCTCAAGGATCCTTAAAGTCTGCTGGAAAACAAGCTGGCACTATGCGCATGACGTTAGTAAAGTTCTGCCAAATTTTGCAAAGCGTTTAAAAATAGATTTAGATTAGATGATCTTCTTAAAAAGGACTTTTATGACATCCTGATTAAAAACTGCATTCATTTCAGAATTAAAGTGTAAATGTGTGTATAAAATATGCACTGTTTATTATTTTTTGTAAAACAGTAATTCAACTCTGGAGGCTTCCTAAAGCTAACACTTTACTTGAAGGGGTGTGCATAAGACTACCATGACACATTCATAATCATGACATGACATAGGCTGTTATGAATATGAAGGACGTTTTATGGATGTTTGTGACAACTGTCATTAAGTGTCATTCGGTCAGTTATGACATTTTTAATGCAAATATGACATTATTTGAGATGTCTTTGTTATGACACACAGAGCCGGTGTGTATTTGATGGTAGTTTTTCCTGAAATGACCCTCAAAGCAGCTCTGGAGATTAAGTTGTCCTTATATTTCAAGACAGCAGTCAGTGAAAACACAGTGTGTGCGAGTTTGTGTATCAGATGAAACCACGCCATTCATTCACACAGAGACACAGAAATCACTTATTAGCGACATTCGCTGGCTGTTTGATATTGTTTATCGCCCAGGTTTAGTTCATGTTAATATTTTGACATTTTATTGTTTTATTACGCTAACCAATTCTGGTACAGTGTTGGGTCTCCTCTTGATGTCTAATCTACAATTTGGGTTCTGAAGCAAAACATGAAGAATCGCTGTTTTAAACAACGCTATGAACATTTGTTTCATTTTTGATAAAGCTCTCATGGATTAATTGAGCACTTCCCTTCTTTTTATTTTCTGCAGTTCTCTTTGTTAGTCCTGTATTGCCTCATGCTGTATAATGAAGACCTTAAGAAGTCAAAGAGTTTCAATTAAGTGACACATGTATGCAGAGTCTGCCAAGTCTTCCAGGGTCTGTTCCAAACTGAAACGTGTAGCCTGTAGCAATGCTTAAGAGGACGTCTTCCATCCTGTTTCAGCCCCAGTCCTGTGATGTGAGGGGTGCTTAGGGGAATGGATGGTATGGCATGATAGGGCTTGATGGTTGTTACAAAGCCTGAGAAGAGTGTAGTGAAGGGTGGAGGGCAATGTCAGCAGGTGCTCAGGGGAATGAATGGACGCCACTGGCTCTTGGGTGGATTAGGACAGATGACCCTGACACCTATCTCCAGCCCATTCTCACCCCCAAGGCGTCACTTAACTGACGCCTTGGGAAGCATTTGGACATGCTTCAATATCTGACGCTTTAGGCGCCCTTTAGCGTCAGTTAGATGACGCCCTAGGATCGCGTGTACCCTACCCCCACCCCACACCTAAACCTAACCGCGTCCTCTAACTGATGCTTTCCTTTAGCATCAGTTAGATGACGCCGTAGGATCGCGTCATGTAAGTGACGCTAAAGGGCGCCTAAAACGTCAAATATTGAAGCATGGTCAAAGGTGACGCCTTGGGGTGAGAATGCGTTATCTCGGCTTTGCAATCAAACTTTGCAACCTTGGAGCTGGTG